GCACAAGTAAAGTAAATGTCCTTTACTTAAGGTATATAAGGAACCAGCGGTCTACATTCAAATGAGTCAATTCTGTAAAACGGATGCACACGCAAGACTCAGGTTCTGGAACAGGACTGCAGTCCAGATGTGGAGGAACAACCAAAACTGTTCGCTAGAGTTTACAGCTGGTGAACGTGAAGAAGAAGAGATCAGGCTAGACCAACTCCGGCCGCCTTTACCTCTTAGGACTTCACCTGGTACCCACTTAAGGCTGTCTCCACCGGAGAGCCAGAGTCATGCATGAGAAAATTCCGGCACTATGCGGATTTGCACCCACGAGCTTTGCATCTAGCCGCTACAGTAAGGTGGCTCCCCATCACAAAACGACCTGAATGAAAATGAAACTTTGTTGCGACGACTGGCTTCTCCGGATATGACCTCTGACCTGGTTTTACCAGGAAACTCCCTTTCGAATAATTGAAGTTCAAGCTGGTTTAAAGGTCGTCGCGCTGGATCCTCTGCCAAATTAGACTTGCATGAAATCATTCTTAGAACAATGTAGTTAGTGCAACCTAATAACTTACTGGGTTCAAGTAACGTTTTTCACCGCAGAGAGTGACTTCCCTTCCCATTTATGCCTCGTCGTGTAGCAGGGGGTCTCTCCTATGTTGCAGAGGTGTCATGTATTCCTTACTGTTAACGCTTTAACCACTCTCTTCTTTTTCGTCTTCTAACCGCTCACTTGCCTAATTATTTTCATGTTCTGCTACCTGCGTCTGTTCGTGAGTATCGAAACTAGGATGTTTTTGTATTTTGACGTTTCTAGACAGTGCCTTCTCTCTATGGGAGGGGATCACAGCTAATGAACGTAGAAATACAAAAACATCAGTTTCGATACTCAGGAATTGTCGCTTTCCCTTACAGTATCTCTTATTTGTACACAGGCGCTTCAAAGAGACTCATGACAACATAGAATCCCGAAAACATTATATATGCCCAGCGAACGCCCAACGAACGCCGAACCAAGCCATATCATAACACCCCCGCAACATAGGAGAGGCCCTGCGACGCGACAAAGCATGAATGGAAGGGGAGTGGGGGAGTAACTCTTACGGTCGCGTGATGTCAACCTCGCCAGGACAGCACATTCAGCGATTAACACCCTGTGACACAAAGTGCCACTGTTTGGATGATAACCCACAGACGCAAGTCCGAGATACCCTGTTGACATCATAGTACTCGGGGTATTCCCATGCATGCTTCGTCCTCATCTTCAGTAGCCGGCACAGAGTTCCAATACTTATAGTACCGGTTACAATCTGGTTATGTGTCGGTCTTGCCTTTCCTCTGAGTGTAGTGTGCCGCCAAGACCCAGTGGTTACATTTAGGTGCCTCATCTCTTCAGGCCATAATAATCTTCTTTCTCTACTGATTTCGTTGCTTGTTCCCAAAGGGCCTTTACCACATCTGCCTTCTCATGTATCAATTAACCACCAAGTCGTGCAGATCCAGCCAATCTGTCTGCCTGTTCATTACCCACCACGCCTGTATTTCAGCTATATATGCCTGTCAAAATTTTTTTTTTCAGACACCTTTATTCAGTGTAAACTTTGTATACAAGATTGTGTGTAAACTGGAATGTATGTCTGTAATTACATGTTGCCCTTTGTAAGTGTATTGTTCATTGGTGTAGCGGAGTGATGCATGGCATCGTTCAGTTAAAGATACATATGTGTACACAATATTCTTATTTACATTTCTAAAGCAGGGAACAGTTAGTGAGGGAGACTCATAAAGCAAGGGGAGGGACAGTGAGGAAGAAAGGAGAGCGACCACTCGTTTTACACTTTTGTCTGGCCTGCTGAAAATAAACATTAAGCATTCAGACATGTGAAGATGTACCAGTTAGTGACGCTGTAACTCACTGGAGCAGTGCACTGACTGATTAACTGACTGTCTCTTGTTCCGTCTGCGAATGCATCTTTATGGTCGTCTGTCTACTTGCATGTCTGTCTATCCCATTATTTGTCTTTTCTGTAGCATCGCTACCAACAAAGAGGCGAGAGACACCGGTGCGTTTTCCATATCTCCCCCCAGGATGACGTCACGGGACAGTCCAATATTTTTTAGGGTGGTAATAGCGTGTTTCCCAGCTTTCTGATGCTTTTACCTACTCCAAAACATCTAGAACTAGGCCTAACCCCAACCCACCTACGTCCCACTAGAGAGTGCAGCCTAGGTCCCACGGCTTCATGCAGCCCAGGTCCCAGGACTGCATGCAGCCTATCTACCACCCCCTAAAATATTCGACTGTTTGGGGGGAGGTATTGGGAAAAATCCGAGACATCATATACAAGTGCTATGCCTTTACTCGGGTCTCATGTAACATTTCCTTAACATTAAACCACGTCCCTCAGAAGCAACTTTTCACCCTGATATAGGATGGGATTTATTGTTAATTCAAAACCCCACCCGGGTATCTTTCAAAGCCATAATATAACCTTACGGTTGAACGGGGTTTCTGGGACTTGTGCCCGGATGATTCTCATTCGAAGGATGGCACTTTGTGTCACCGGGTGTTTATCGCTAGTTTTGGAGGGGTTGAAAGCCACTCTTGACGTCTCTTACAATAGATCATCCCATCCCCCCCCCCCCAATAGACTGCAGGTTACATGATAACCACAGGCGTTCTGGCGAAGTGGTCAAGTCCTTTGCCTCGCGCTCTGAAGGTCGTGGGTTCGTTTCGCGGCTGAGCCCTTCAGGTCATGAGTGCAGTTTTGTACAGAGATCCCTGGGGATCGTCGCGGAAGCTACGGAGTTCGTGCTCTGCCCGGCGCTTTCGGCAGGCGGCTAGCCGTTCTGCCGAGAGAGACCGAGCCATATGGAATAAAACCCGGTGCAATAATGAAGTCGATCTTCACTGGAGAAAGAGAGAAAGGGGAGAGAAGGGGCGCCCTAATCTGTGTTACACGACTGGAAGGGGTTTCTGGGATTTGCTCCTGGTTGATCCTCATCCTTGAGGTGCTAATGCCACCGACAGCAATCCTGGAGGGGAACAATAACCATTACAAAAAGTTATTCTTTTCTGTTATTTCACTACATCACGCTGGCTTCAAGATTTGGTAGGGTAATCCCCAGACCGTCCAAAAGTATTGGAAAAAAGGGAGGTGGGGGGGGGGGGGTTGTTGGTTTAGGGTTAGGCTCAGTAGTAGTCGCTATTCATTTAACACTAATCCTAACCCTAACCCCCCTATACTATAGTACAGTCTAGGAATTTTCCTATCAAATCTCGAAGCCGGTGTGTTGTGGTGAAATAACAAAAAATAACAAAAAAAGTTATTTGCACATCCTTTACAGTACAGGATCTTGCAGAACCAATCCCAGCATCTTTTGGCTGTTGTAGTTCTTCTAAGCCAATGTTACGTTCAGTAGTTTGCCATTGCTTTAAACAGTCCCCTCTCGGTACCACTGTCGAAACCAGAGTAAGATAAACCGTCCATAGATGGAACCCGGCACCCGGCATTACGAAGGAAGCGCGTCCGCAAAGCCTAATCCACAGGTTATGCTAGCTGCGTATCCTTTACAGGACGTGGCAGAACCAACCCCAACAGCCCCTCACTGTTGTGTGGTTTTTCTAGACAAATTTACGTCCAATAGTTTGCCATTGCTGCCTGGACGGTCGGCTTTCTTGATACCACTGTCGAAACCAACGCAAGGCGCATGGCCTGCAGCTAGGATCGAACCTGGCAATTCGAAGCGTTTGCATCGTCTTGGCCACAGAGCTGACCTAATCCACAGACATAGTTTAATTAGCACCCTCAATATGCTCGCCCAGTATGGATTAATGGGTACTTTATAACCGTCGGATATGCAAGTATAACTGCCATATATAATTCACAATCAGACAGTGTAATGATCGGCATTCATAGAAAGAAGTAGAAAGATAACAGGAACACTAGACAACATTTTAGTTACCGTGCCGGGAATCGAACCTGTCTCCTCCAGTTGGAAACAAGTGTACTGAGATACACGGCCAACCAGACATCCCCAAAAAGGATGACTTCATTGGCCATGTCTATCGCACAGCTTGAAATCCACAACTATAGAATACTGACTGAAATTATCTCAAACCATTGAAGTGGCACCATAGGTTACAGCAAAAAGCATAAGTCAATAACATACGCAGCAACAATTTACAAACACAGCAGACTGAAATGCTTTGTCTTCTCTGGTTATTAATGATTTTAACTGTTAAACGGCTGAAAATGATTTGTCCGATTTGCTCCTGCTTTATTATCTTTCGAATTGTAGATCCTTGTGAGGGGAAACAAAATATCTAAGCCTTGTTTAAGGACAATAATAACAGCAGGACTGTAGTTGAGGTCCGCTATTTCGTCGTGTTATGACTTGAATTCTGCATTTCGAAGTCTATAAGAATTAGTAAATTGTTTCTACTTTTAATCTTTTTTAAAAGGTAAACAAGAGGAGGAGGAGGAGGCGGAGTGTATTAGCATATGTTACGAAAAGAATAAATGCCGCCTTCAAATTCACAGATACAGGGTTGAAAGAGGACAAGTACACTTGTATATTGTTACATAAGCAATTGTCGAGGCGACAGTAGCAACAGCAGTTAACAGCAGGAGTACTAACTGCAGCGTTGTAACAGCAAGAGTACTAATTGAAACTGCAATTTAATTAGAAGCCGATAGTATACACAGCAGCAAAATCCCCAACAGAAGCTGTAAAGGTATTAGGACATGCAAAAACTACAGTAGAAGCAGCAACTGTACAAGAAGTAACAGCAAAATCCACAGATAAAGCAGCAGCAGTACTATGAGTATCACCAGAAACCAAAGAAAAAGCAGCAACAGTACTAAAAGTAACAGCAAAAGCCACAGTAAAGGCAGCAAGAGTTTCAGAAGTAGCATTGAAAACTATAGCAGAAGCAGCAAAGTAGTCCCCACAGGAGCATCAAGAACGTCAGAGGCAGTAGCATCAGAAACAGCTGCAGTTCAACAATGAAGAAGCTGCTGATATCGAACTTCGCCCTGGTTGCCATGGCCTTGCAGCTTGCGGAACCTGGCAGAGGTAATCTGTAGATAGTGGTTGCTGACAGAGTTGTGAAAGAAGTGGCTATAGACGAGTGGTTATAGGGGGGGGGGAGGGGGGGGGGTTAGTGAAAGATATGGTTTTTTAGTTGAGTGGTTGTGGGTGGCGTAATGACAGAAGTGGCCATAGGTTATGGGGGAGAAAAAAGGGGGTGGGAGGAGGAGTGGTGTAGTGAAAGACATGTTTTTTTTTTTTCGATGGGTGGTTGTGGATGGCGTTATGAAAGAAGTGGCCAAAAAATGAGTTGCTGTGGGAGTTGTTGTGAAATTAGTGGTCATAGATAAGTAGTTTCAAGTGGTGTCGTAAAAGAAATGAGTGTGTGAAAGAAATGGTCGCAGATAAGCGGCTGCGGGATTTTCCGATTCTTTTTAAGAAAAAAAAATTAAAAGGTCGACAATTTCAGACTGCTGCTAGCTAGCCGAGTCTGATAACAGTCTTCGCCTATATTTGTGGTCTATGGCTGCGAGAGTTTTTTTGGGTCACCGATATGTGGTCACAGGTGATGCAGAGAAATGATTAATTATTGTTAAGTGTTTTTATTTTTATTTGGGGGGGGGGGGGGGAGGGAGTGGAATGTTGTTAAAATCCTTCAATGTATCAGTCAATGATCATTATCTTGTGCCATGCCGATAAGTGTAGGCGGTCAAGAATGGCGGTCCCACACAAGACCACCAGAGTCACTGGTTAGGACATATCTTGTGACCTGTCCCATCCGTGTGGCTAAGCCAGCCAGGTTCACTAAATCCTCGTTAACACAAATTTCCACTAGCGAAAAATCAATAGTTCTTGTTTAAAATACTCATCTTACTAACTGGAGATTTGCAGATGTCTTCTAAATAATACATTCATGCTAGGGCCAAAAAGAATTGTGTTTATGTTAACTGAATGTTCGTCTTAAGCGAACTGGTTTTAACGAGGTCTTACTATGTTTGTCGTTGCCCCCTCCTTACATTTCTTTCCCTCCAAATCACCCTGGCCAGTTGTGACCAAGTCGGTGTCTCGCTGTGACCAAGTCAGTGTCTCGCTATGACCAAGTAGGTGTCTCGCTGTGACCAGGTAGGTGTCTCGCTGTGACCAAGTCGGTGTCTCACTGTGACCAAATCGGTGTCTCGCTGTGACCAAGTAGGTGTCTCGCTGTGACCAAGTAGGTATCTCGCTGTGACCAAGTCGGTGTCTCGCTGTGACCAAGTCGGTGTCTCGCTGTGACCAAGTAGGTGTCTCGCTGTGCCATGTATCAAAAGTTGCAGTTCAAGAATAGAGGCTCGACTTCCTTGCAGTGGGTTTTATCCCGGATGACTCGGCGTCTCTTGACAGAACAGCCAGCCTCCCTACCTAGAGCGTCTCACCAAGTGACAATCCTTAGAGAAATTTGTAAAAACTGCAGTCGTATGCTGAACGTCGCGTCATTGTAACGAACTCCGACCTTCAGAGCTCGAAGCAAACGGTTTGACCACTTCGCCACGTAGACTTCGTAATACTATGTGTCAACCCTCAATCATTGACACAGAAACATATGTTAAATCAAGTTCTAATGTCTGTGTGAAGTGTTAACGAAAATTCCCATGTGGGTTCCGGAGAGCCATCTAGGGTCGGGGGGAGTCGCCGTGGAGTATCGGCTAGACGCTTGCTTGCGGATCGGAGGGTCGTGGGTTCTTTCCCTGGGGGAGCCAGATTTTCTTGAAAAAATGACCTTGGCTCTCAGGTAGACCCAGCCTTGAGTGGGTATCAGGGGCAGTCTTGAGAAGTGAAGGCGGCCGGCATGATGCTGACCACATCACTCATCTTGTGCAGTTGGTCTATAAAATATAGGTCTAGCCCTATATGCCCTATACACCTGAAAAGCGTGGAAAAGGATCCTTTACTTTATCTGGGGTGGGAAAAGTATAGACCCACTGCCGCCGAATAAGCATGGCATAAAAGGCCACTTAGTCGCGTTTTCCTCGGCATCAGAATGAATCTGCTTGAGATGACAGGCAGCAACATTCTGCATACAAATAAGCCAGATCATTAAAAGTGTTGTGCATCGAGAACTCAAGTTCTGGAAAAAGACCAAAGTCCAGAAATGGACAAACAACCAAAACTTTCCGCTGGAGTTTTCAGCCAGTGAAACTTAGAAAGAAGAATAAAAGTGTTAACAAAACAGTAACTTCACACTGAGTGTTCACACGCATATTTCCAGCGCCAGTTATCAGGACCCAGGGATCCACCCTGAAAGCTATTCCAGGGAAGAAGGTCTACATGGCTTGTGAGGCTTCAGGGGATCCACAGCCGACGATCACTTGGGAGAGAGAAGGAATGGTAGTTTCACTTTAAATGTATTTGTAGTTTGTTGTAAATCAAGCTTTGATGTTGAATGTAATAGTAAAAAAAGTAAAGTTCCCTTTTCACGCCTTTCGGCGCATCGGGCATTTGGGCAGAGCGTCCCATATTTTTACAGACCATCAGCACTCCGTGGGTAATGTGATCAGCATTACGCCGGCTGTCTTTACTTTCCCAGGACAGCCCATCCTGGTACCCATTTTAGGCTGGGTCGACCTGCGACGTCCCATACCACGACACAAATCCACGCAGCCTGCAGTGGGTTTCGATCGCGGTATGCTGGCTTAAGAGTCGGACTCGCAACGTCTTAGCACGGAATGTAATAGTAGTTAGCTGTAAATGAAGCTTTGATGTTGTATTTAGTTGTAGTTAGTTGTGAATGAAGCTTTGATGTTGTATTTAGTTGTAGTTAGTTGTGAATGAAGCTTTGATGTTGAATGTAGATGTAGTTAGTCGAAAATGATCTCAAAATTTGAAATGTAGTTGCAATTAGTTGTAAATGAAGCTTTGATCTTGAATGCTATTGTAATTAGTTGTAAACGAAGATTTATTGTTAGATGCAGTCGTAGTTAGTTGTAAATGAAGCATCGGTGTTGAATTTAGTTGTAACTGGTTGTAAATGAAGCTTCGATGTTAAATGTAGTTTGTAGTGAGTTGCAAAAAAAGATCTGATTTTGAGTGTAGTTGTAGAAGTTGTAAATAAATCTGCAATGTCAAATTTAATTGTAGTTAAGTCAGTCGCGAGTAGTAAAGTTTCTCAATATGCCGTCCCGTACATCTTCAATCAAATGTTAAAATTGTATTCTGATGTCGTTGCTTATGCTCCCATTTTGCGGTGCCGCCTGATGCGGTCGTATCACGGTATCATAGCACAGCAGGTCCCTGTAGTTAGTTGTTAATGTAGCATTCAGTTGTAGATATAGTTAGATGTGAGCATTTTTAGCGTGGCTATAATTATACGGATTTATACAGTGAACGCTTTATAGAGTTTCTTAGAGTATAATTTTGTTCTCTGTTTTTTCAACAGCCTGTAAGTCTGTTTGGAAACCGGTTTTCTGTGACTGTGGGCAGCGAGGCGTTGCGGATCGTCAACTTGCTGGTGGATGACCGCGGTAACTACAGCTGCATTGCCAAGAACCCGTTTGGCGTGGACATCATCACCGTGACTTTAGTGGTGATGAGTAGGTTGAACCATGCAGTAACCGTTTTTGTTATCATCGTCATCTTCTTCTTCTTCTCTTCCACCTTGTACTTCATCGAAGTGTCGGGGGGAGATGTAATGTACGTTGATGAGCTCTGTCAAGAGCACTACTGAGACGGATGTCCATGTTTGTAAGGTTGTTCTTAATGTCATCACTCCATTTTTTCCCGAGGTCTTCCACTCGCTCTATACCCATTGTAACGTTTTAGTGTGGCTCGCTGTGGCAGATAGTACCAGTGCATTCTTGTTAGGTGTCCAAACCACTTCATTTGTTGTTCTTTGATGACCTGTAAGACTGGCTTTATTCCTAGCATTCGTCTGATTTCATAATTTCCTATTCTGTCTTTCCTTGAAACTCCTGCAGCTATTCTAAGGCATTTCATCTATGTTGCCACAATTTTGAGTTCATTGGAGGATGTAAGTGTCCATGTTTGGCATTGATAGCATAGTGTTGACCAAAAAATAGTTCTTATAAGATTCACTTTAGTACTCTGAGGTATCTGCTTGTGTGTCAACAGGGGAGATAGTTGCACTATTACTTGATTATCTTTGGCACATCTGGAGCTAATTCATGGTCATCGTCATCATGGTAGCCATAGTGAAAAGTTTCATCAGCGTCACCGTCATAATTATTACAACCATAATTACTTGCATTGGAACCCACAGGGGCATAGGAATAAAGGAAGGTCATAAAACACACGGAGAAGAGAGCTGGAGAATGAAGTAAGAAAGATGGGGAGGACTTCGGGATAGTTCCATTTAATGGCGAAGGATAGCACGACTTGGCGTGAGTTGGTTGAGGGTCTGTGCTCCCTGGGGGATAGAAAGGCAGAAGAATTACTTACATCATCATTTAATCATCTTTAGTTTCTATCCTATGTACTATCTTCATCGCCTTCTTTAGTCATCGTCGTAAATTTTTTTTTTTATCACAAGCATGTTTATAATTTTCTTCGTCCTCATCCCCAACTCCCTTTTTATATACATCATTATTACTTATTCACAGTAAACAACTTATATAGATATTATTTTTTTTTTTCAGTTGCAGTAGCAAGTTTAGCAACACTTTCAATATCATCATCGACGTCACCACCACTACTACTGCTGCTTTTACTACTACTACTTTTACTGCTACTACCACTGCTACTACTGCTGCTACTACTACTTTCATTACTACTGCTGCTACTACTACTTTCATTACTACTGCTACTACTGCTGCTACTACTACTTTCATTACTACTTTTACTACTGCTGTTGTTTCGGCTGTTGCTACTTCTGCTACCAGAACTCTTTCATACCCATGAATTTTGACAGACTTGGCCCACATTCATTTCCCTTTATAAAAATGGCAGAGGGGTGGGTGTACAAGAAAGGCTGTAGAGACTGTAATATACGTCTAATCCCCATAAAAGTATATATTTTTTAAAAGAGAAATGAATGTACATTTTGAATCTGATGATAAGTGTTTGTTTAATGTTGTTATAGTTAGTGGGAAAGAAGAATTCAGCAGGTTTTAATTTCACAAGGACAACATTTCACACAAAAATTCTTCACTTACCATGGTTTTGCAGCCACAAGAGTAGTAAATATCCAAATTTGAGAACAAAACTTCAAAGTTTGTTCAATTTCCTAACATATTCCAAAGTTATGATAACTTTCTGGGTTAGTTTAGCACTCAGGGGCTCCGAGTACTAAGCAAAATTTCAGAGAAAAAAATAGCAGAAAAATGAGCCATTACACACTTACTATTTACTTTGAACAGTTATTTACAGACTGTAGCTGCGATGATTTCAATGTAGCTTAGCCATAGTATAGTACTGTCTCTTTGTTAAGAGCACTTTCTTTCTCTTACACCATAAATACGGAGCAATGGGACATTGTCTGTGTAATAAACTCATCAGAATCTCTAGATTCCAAACAGCTGATCGCTCAGCTTCACTGGTGAAAATTCACCGTCCGACTCACTTTCCGAAAAATCTAAATTTGTATTATCATTATCACAATTAAAACATCTCACTGAAACAATTTCAGAGCTTCGGCCGCAGAAAAACGCATTCTGCAACCTGTACTTGTGGTTGGAACATTAGTATTCATGGCACTCAAAAACGAACTTAGTAAATGAACTGTTGAAACAAAATTCGCGGTTTTTTCCCCCATTAAATTATCCACGTGTGGTTTAGTCCAGGAAATGATACTAAAAGGAGTTCGGCAGAGTGACTTTCCCTGAATAGTTTAATCGTACCTCCAAACGTTAGAAACTAGTACAAACGCGCGTGCGAAGCAAAATGTAAGGGACACACGATTGACAATGACACCGTTGTTTGGGCAGAACGGAACTTCTCAAACTACGCTCACACCGTTGTTTGGGCCTTAAAGAAAATAAACAATAAAAGCTTATAATAATCTGCATTAGACAAGCAACTATTGCTATTTATACTTTATCTCAAATAATGCAAACAATGTTTCTTCTCCACAGTTAAACCAGAATGCAAAATCATATCTCCAACAAATTTGACACTCATAGAATTGACCAATCAGGAGTTAGTTTGCCGATCACGTGGACTTCCCCAGCCGTCATTTGAATGGCTGACCAATCATCATCAACGCATTCGACCAATGAAATTTGTATTTGATAATGTAAGACTTCTTATATTTATGCTTATATGTTTGTATAGTGTGTGTGTGTGTGTGTGTGTGTGTGTGTGTGTCTGTGTGTGTAGATATTAAACATACTGGGAGCCGCTGTAGAGAAGTGACTCTGGAACCTAAGGCTCAGTCTTCTTAACTCTGTTCCCAACCATAATAATTGTAAACGAATGAGGAGCCCTCTTATAGACACATTATTATTATTATTATTATTATTATTATTATTATTATTATTATTATTATTATTATTATTATTATTATTATTATTATCACAATTAAAGACTCATTAATTAATTATTTGTCATATTGTGTCATTGTATCACACATAGGACTCGCTGTCTACTCCTCATTCTCTTCTATCCTGTGCATTCAGCCCGGCTTGCTAGCTCATGATTAATCCTAACTGCGTGGCGATCGGGTTCTCCTAGAGTTACGGTTTCTATCATGGAATCAAGGCCAAAGAGTTGCGATATCCATAGTACCGATACTCAACAACAACAACAAAACAATCCGCTGCATTCACTTCAATATCATTGATGAAAACTAGTTCAGCAGCTTCAGCTTTTCTTATCAAACTTCGTTTCTCTTATGTGTTCTCATTTCGTTAATCCCTATATATCACATGTCGGTGCTGTCTGGTGATTCACCGCTCATTTCTTGTCTGGATATGTCCAGTATAGCCCCATCTTCTCTGTTTTATAACTGTTGATACTAGTTTTTGTCCCTACATTTCTCTTATTTCTTTACCCGTCTTGAATTATTTTAATACTACTGCTCACTTCAACAAGGCTTAGCCGCCCCACCTTCTTTAGGCCCTACTCCCCAAAAATTCGTAAAAATGACTGAGAGGTTCCCCTCTCATCTTCCCCCCCCCCCCCCCCCAATCATGCCCCTGAGTGATGAAATATCAACATTATAATGTGTCCAGATAATAATGGCATTAATGTTAGTATCGAGGATAAGAAGTGGGATTATAATGACAATTTTCATGATGACGATGTAAATAACCAAATGATGTTGATGATGATGACGAAGACGGCGGTGATGATAATGGTGGTGATGACGAGCAGCCGCTGGCCGAACGGTTAAGAAAACTTGGCTGTCATTCTGGAGACCATGGTTGAAAACCTCTGTAAGGTGATGATTGTGTTTCTGTCAGGTAAAAATACATAACCTGCCCAGTCCGTGGTGACTGCACTAGACACGTAGCCCCAAACCCACGAGCTGAATCCAAAGTCGGCACCCGCCTACGCTGCCATATTGATAGAAACAGGCAGTAATGGCAGTTTCAATAACTGAATAGTAAATAATGTTGGCTATTAAAGACGACAAAACACAGAAAATTTAGATATTTTAGTCACTTGACACGTCACAAAAGTTTAAAGAGAACAATAATAGAGGGGTATATGCCTGAGAATAGAGAAAAAGGCCAAAGAGAAGATGGGTGCAGGATGTTGCGGATGGCCTCCAAATGGGTGTATCGGACGCGGGACATCTTGCTTGTCATCGAGAAGTTTTCCGGAAGGTTGTTATGGAAGCAAGGTTTTGCAAAGGAATGCTACCGACTGACTGACTGAATGGCAGTTTATGTGTATTGGAGGATGTTAATACTGCTGCTACTTCTGCCGGTACTACTGCTGCTACTCCTATTGTCACTATTAGTATCACTACTACAACTTCTACTACTGCAACTACTATTATCACTGCTACTAGTTTCATTACTACCGTGTGTCACCGGGGCCCTCACGGGAAGCAAAGAATAGTGACACTGCACCCTACCAGGCATGTCGTAAGGTACGACTAAGGGTAGGGTTGGGCTTGAGGTTGGCTACCTCATCCTGTAAAAACCATAGCCACAAAAACCAACCAACCATGGATTAGTTAAAAAGAGAAGCAAGTAAAATCCAGCCAACCAAGATGAGGGGAGGCTCTTCAAATAGAAGAAGTAATAAAGGAAGGCCAAAAAACACATGGAGAAGAGAGCTGGAGAATGAAGTTAGAAAGATGGAGAGGACATGAGGAGCGCTCCATGCCATGGCGAAGGATAGAACGACTTGGGTTGGTTGAGGGTCTATGCTCTATTGGGGGATAGAAAGGCAGAAAAAGAAATATATATCACTGTCATCGTTTGCCAGCAACAACAACAGTTGTTTTGTTTTCAAAGTCGAGCGAAAAAAAGTCCTTCAACTTTTTTGACAGATGATGAAGGTGATAATAACGATGACGACGACAATGATAAGCAAAAAACCACTAGGTACGTGGAGATACACCTCTGAGTGACAGCGATTGGGGTGAGGGATTCAGTATAGAACTGACCGTAAGGATTGCAGGCGAAGACAACTCAGATGCATAAATAACCAGCTCGCCACAAGGCAACTACAGTCAGGGGTGTTGACATGAGTTTAGTCTTCATAAAACATGTGTGTGTGTGTGTGTTTGTGTGTCATTATTTTTTTTGTAGTGGGGGGGGGGGGAGGCCTTAGTGGGGGGGGGGGGGGTATGAGTTCCTAAACTCTCAGATTCCCGCGTCTCTGTATAGCATCAATACCTTATATTCTGCACGAAAAGACTGAGCACCAGTGAGCATGCCCTAAATGTGGTAACGTTATTTCTTGATCATAAGTACTATGCCAGATCGCCAGGTTCTAATTTCCTCCCTTGTTTCAATATATCCGTATGTTCAGATGACGACGAGTACAAGACTGTACTCCGTGGAACGACAGATCGACGAGGAGATGTTTGAGTCGGTGCTCTTCTTGCAGCCAGTGCTCTTCAAGGACCTAGGCGATTTCGTATGTGTCTCATTCAATGAGGTTGGCAGCAGCCGGGACACCGTGGCATTAGATGTACATTGTAAGTCCGTGTGTCGTCTATAGCTTTTCCTTATTTGAATGATCCTAGTGTATACGGAACTAACTCTCTGGACGATTAAGATTTAATCCCCGCATCCAAGTGGCGATCGATGATCAATTCGCATGTTTAAGAGATTTAGCCCAAATTTTAAGTGTAAGCAGGTAGCGATTAAACTGTAGAGCGTTTCACGTGATATTTTCCTTCTCGCCTCTTTATCGTTCAGAGTATGCGCGAGCAGCTATCATCGTGTTATTAGTAACTGGTCAGGACGTACCTGAGGTATTTCGTGCCCGTTACGGGACGGGGAGGGGGATGTTACAAGTTATGTAAGTTGCACTAGCCATTGCTCACTTGAGTGGCTATATAAAAAAAAAAAAACAACTGTATAGTGCATAATTAGAAAACCTGTTTAATCCCGCCTTTGCAAGTAACATTCATAGGATATATATATAACTATATATATAACTATATATATACAACTATAAATATATAACTATAACAAATGTAAACGGTGCCCGGTCAGAGGTGAGTGTTTCTATTGAGTGGTGCCCTTCTAACTTTCTTCAACAAAATGAAACTCACTGTGGTCGCTCCAAATGAAACGCTGTCATGTGGCGTTCCACTCCAAATGGCACACTGGGCACCTGCCCTACCTACCATAGCCTAGGCACGCGACTGTAGCTAGTAGCTATTCTCGCAAATTTCAACTTTTGCTTTGTTATCATGCTAACGTCATTAGTGTCATCTCTCTCCCCTTCTCTTTCTCCTTCTCTCTCATTCACTCATACTCTCTCTCTCTCTGTTTTTTACACCATGTCTTTGTTTAATTCTCTCCGTCTCTCTCGTTCTCTCTCTTTCTCTCTTCTTGCTCTCATTTTCTCTCTCTAGCTTAAACTCTCAGACTCTCTGCATCTTTCTCATTTTCTTTCTCTCGTCTTTCCAACTTTCTGTTTCTCTCTCCCTCTCTTGTCTCTCTCTCTCTCTCTCTCTCTCTCTCTCTCTCTCTCTCTCTCTCTCTCTCTCTCTCTCTCACTCTCTCTCTCTCTTTCTCTCTCTTTTGTTCTCTCTCCAAGCAGTTGCCCAACATCGGCAAGTTCAATGTTGCTTCGATTACACCCTACACCTAGTGACCTTAAACCTTCAACCACTTGACGTGAACTAAACCTAAACCTACATTTCCCCCAGTTCCACCAAAAGTGGTGTCAAGCCACCAACCGCAACAGCCAGTTTCTTGGTGGCTGGGACACACCGCAAATCTCACCTGTGCAGTCACAGGAAATCATTTACCAGAGATCACCTGGACCAGAGACGGACAGCGCTTCTCCTGTACTGCCCTAGAGGAGTGGGTTCGTGGCTCAGAGATAATATCTACCTGCATGGTAAGTGACTGATTACTGACCGCTTAATTCGATCCATTGAACTCAAGATTGGTTTATTAGATGATTAATCAACTAATTAATCCAGTGATTCTAAAGCAGCTAGAACCTGCAAACTCTTATTATTTTCGAGGGTTTCCGACGGACCCTTTAGATTTTAATAGCCACACTTACAATTTATAAATATTAGAATCACAGAAAGGACATCCTTCAAAAGTTCGGGTTTAAAAAAAAAATGACATCTCGGATCTCAATATTCTTACCAACGCGGTGCTATCAATGTCAAACATGAGCACTGTCTTCAGAAAACTGAAGGTAAATAATCACACCATCACCATCATCATCACGTGCCTTGCCGACTGGCGTGGGCGATCATGCCTCTCCATAATCCGCGATCTCCTGCAGCATGTATCAGTTCGTGTGCCGACACACCTCCATGCCATGCAACAAGACTGTCAAGCATCTTCTCTCGTTGTCTTCCTCTATCCCTCCTTCCACAGATCTTTCCAGTGGTCACAACATGTTCTATTTTCCCTCTTCTCATAACATGGCCGAAAAATGATGACTGTCTCTTTCTGATGTCAGTGATAAGTTGTCTTCGGTCTCCCGCCTCTTTTAAAACCTCTTGGTTGCTCTTTTTGGCTGTCCAAGGTATTCTAAGCATTCTTCTGTAAAACCACATCTCTGAGGCCTCTAAAAATTGTTTGGCCTGCCTACCGATTGTCCAGGATTCACATCCATATGTTAAAACTGGATGTATGTAGCAAGCAAGATTCTTTTTTCTAACTCTCAATGACAAGGATATATTGCACAAGATGTTTTTCATTTTATAAAATGCAGTTTTTGCCTGTCCAATTCTATTTCTTATTTCAGTTATGCATCTTCCATCTGATGTTATCCATGTGCCCAGATACCTAAATTTCTGTACTTGTCTTAAAATAACACCATTGACTTTTATTACACATTTAGGAATAATTTGTTTCTTTGATACCACCATTACTTCTGTCTTCCCATTATTCAAACTGAGGCCCATTCTTCCACTTTCTAACACCACAATGTCTATCATTTCCTGTAATTCTTTCTGACTTGTTGCTATCAACACTGTGTCATCAGCATAACGTAAATTGTTTATATTGTGCCTACCAACCACGATTCCGGGTATATCAATTAAAGATCTCATAATATATTCACTGTATATTGAAAACAAATCAGGTGAAAGTACACATCCTTGTCGTACGCCCATCTTTATGCTTTGAAATGTACCTAAACAGTTGTTAATTCTTATAGCTGCTGTTTGCTGCCAATACATATTCTTTATTATTCTTAGATCTTTCCCATCAATGTTTAATTTTTCTAACAGTTTGATTACTTCTTCATGCTTCACACAGTCAAATGCTTTTGTATAGTCTATGAAGCATAAGTACAAATCAGTCTTTACTTCTATAGCTCTTTCTGACAATGTCCTTTAGGATGTATATGGCATTGTTTGTACCTTTTCCTTCTACAAATCCACATTGTTCATCGCTGATTTCTGGTTTAATTTTGTTTCTTATTCTTCTCATAATTATTCTCAGTAAAATCTTAGTCATGTGACTCATAAGACTTATTGTGCGATGGTCTTCACATTTTAAAGTGCCTGGTTTCTTCGGCAGAGCTATAAATATGGATTTTAAAAGGTCATTTGGAATATACCCACTGTTATAAATATCATTTAAAAGTTTAGTTATTATTTCAATTCCAAAATTTCCCAGTGCTTCGATTTCTTCCAGTGAGATGTTGTCTGGCCCTGGTGCTTTTCCTTTCTTCATATGATGTATTGCATCCTCAACTTCTGCAGTCATTATTGGTGGACCATCATTGTTGTTCTGCAGTTCTACATCTGGTCTATTATCATCATACAATTCCCCTATATACTCTGTCCATCTGTTAATTATATTACTATGTCCCATTAATAAGTCACCGTCCTTTGATATCAAACATCCAGTGCTGTTACGTGTCATCTTTCCTGTTAACATATTTATCTGTTGGTACATGGAATAAATAATCACAACAGAATTAAAATGTTTACGTACTGTGCTAAATGTAACAAGAAAAGATCAACTTAGGAACGATGGTATCGAGAGAAGAGTCGGAAGAGAACCAATACTGAACTTTATAGGTAAACAACAGATCAAAGGGCCTGGCCACTCTATAAGATTTTCACCAGACTGGGCATTAACTGGCTTTATTATACCACTTTTGCGGTGTAGGAGGGGGGATCTTTGAGCCTGAGGTTTTAAGGTCGCATGGCTAGTGCTGTCGCTACGACTGTGCAGGTGAGGATTTTATACTGCCCCGATAACCACCCCCCCCCCACCCACCCTTTTTCAACTTTACCGAGGATTCGAACCCTGGTCTCCCGCATGAGAGCCCAGCCGCTTATAGGGCACCACAGAGAGCAATGCTATTCAGAGCCGAGGTGACAGAGCCAGATGTCGAGAAGGACACATGGGTTTCCATCTCCCTTGCTGAAGTAACTGTTTAGCGAGTTGAAAAAAAAAAAAAATTGTAAAGTAGCCCTTTCAAGCCAGTGGCATATCAGATATATGATGGTAGACACATTTTAAAGACAACTGGTGATGTGATCAATATCAAATCGGCTGTCTTAACTTCCCAGGATTTTACATGGTACCCCTTTTTCAGCTGGGTCAACCTGGAAGGCACAGTCATTTTGCCAAAGGAAAAAAAAAAAACCCGACTTCAGGTCTAGCTGTTATACTACTGCGGTTCCTATCTATTGGGTCCATTTTGTTTCAACGTAATTTACGTGAGAAAGATAACCATTCTAATTTATGTCAAACGAACAGACCGGTATAACGATTACGTTTTCAGATCAAAGATAAAAACACAGGTGGACCAGGTAACTACACATGTAGTGCGGAAAACAGCCTCGGGAAAATCCTTGTGCATACTTTTATTGTCCGTGAGATTTGTAAGTTGTGTGTCGTTGTACATTACATGTGGTAGTTATAAGTTATAAGTGTGGTTGTAGATTCTGTTCATTCATTCATTCAGTAAGTAAGTAAGTAAAAGTAAAGGACCCTTATCCACGCCTCTATGCGTATAGGGCATATAGGGCTACACCTATGTTTTTATAAACCAATCGGCACAAGATGGGTGATGTGGTCAGCATCACGCCGTGTTCAGTAAGAAAGAAAAATATTAAAGATCCCTTTTCACGTCTTTTGGCGCATCAGGCTTAGCGAAGAGCACCCATACTTTTACAGACTAATCGGCACTTGGTGTGTAATGTTGTCAGCATTACGCCGGCCGTCTTTACTTCCCCAGGACAGCCATCCTGGTACCCATTTGAGGCTGGGTCGACCTGCGACACCCCTTACCATGATATAAATCCACACATCCAGCAGTGGGTTTCGTTCGCAGTACACTGGAATTACGAGTCAGACTCGCAACGCCTAAGCCACTGACGCCGCTTTTCAGTAGTTGTAAGTTCTGTATGGTTGTAGATTCTGTTCAGTAGTTGTAAGTTATGTATGGTTGAAGATTCTGTTCACTGGTTGTAAGTTATGTGGGGTTGTAGATTCTGTTCAGTAGTTGTAAGTTATGTGTGGTTGTAGATTCTGTTCACTGGTTGTAAGTTATGTATGGTTGAAGATTCTGTTCAGTAGTTGTAAGTTATGTGGGGTTGTAGATTCTGTTCAGTAGTTGTAAGTTATGCGTGGTTGTAGATTCTGTTCACTGGTTGTAAGTTATGTATGGTTGAAGATTCTGTTCAGTAGTTGTAAGTTCTGTATGGCTGAAGATTCTGTTCAGTAGTTGTAAGTTATGTATGGTTGAAGATTCTGTTCAGTAGTTGTAAGTTATGTATGGTTGTAAATTCTGTTCAGTAGTTGTAAGTTCTGTATCGCTGAAGATTATGTTCAGTAGTTGTAAGTTATGTGTGGTTGTAGATTCTGTTCGGTAGTTGTAAGTTATGTGTGGTTGTAGATTATGTTCAGTAGTTGTAAGTGATGTGTGGTTGTAGATTCTGTTCAGTAGTTGTAAGTTATGTGTGGTTGTAGATTCTTTTCAGTAGTTGTAAGTTATGTATGGTTGAAGATTCTGTTCAGTAGTTGTAAGTTATGTGTGGTTGTAGATTCTGTTCAGTAGTTGTAAGTTTTGCGTGGTTGTAGATTCTGTTCACTGGCTGTAAGTTATGTGTGGTTGTAGATTCTGTTCAGTAGTTGTAAGTTTTGTGTGGTTGTAGATTCTGTTCAGTAGTTGTAAGTTTTGTGTGGTTGTAGAATCTGTTCACTGGCTGTAAGTTATGTGTGGTTGTAGATTCTGTTCAGTAGTTGTAAGTTTTGCGTGGTTATAGATTCTGTTCACCAGTTGTAAGTTATGTGTGGTTATAGACTCTGTTCACCAGTTGTGAGTTATGTGTGGTTGTAGATTCTGTTCGGTAGTTGTAAGTTATTTGTGGTTTTAGATTCTGTTCACCAGTTGTAAGTTATGTGTGGTTATAGACTCTGTTCACCAGTTGTGAGTTATGTGTGGTTGTAGATTCTGTTTAGTAGTTGTAAGTTATTTGTGGTTTTAGATTCTGTTCAGTAGTTTTAAGTTATGTGTGGTTGTAGATTCTGTTCACTAGTTGTAAGTTATGTGTGGTTGTAGATTCTGTTCACTGGCTGTAAGTTATGTGTGGTTGTAGATTCTGTTCAGTAGTTGTAAGTTATGTGTGGTTGTAGATTCTGTTCACTAGTTGTAAGTTTTGTGTGGTTGTAGATTCTGTTCACTGGCTGTAAGTTATGTGTGGTTGTAGATTCTGTTCAGTAGTTGTAAGTTATGTGTGGTTATAGATTATGTTCACCAGTTGTAAGTTATGTGTGGTTGTAGATTCTGTTCGGTAGCTGTAAGTTATGTGTGGTTGTAGATTATGTTCACTAGTTGTAAGTTATGTGTGGTTGTAGATTCTGTTTAGTAGTTTTGAGTTATGTGTGGTTGTAGGTTCTGCTCACTAGTTGTAAGTTATGTGTGGTTGTAGATTCTCTTCACCAGTTGTAAGTTATGTGTGGTTGTAGATTCTGTTCACTAGTTGTAAGTTATGTGTGGTTGTAGATTCTGTTCACTAGTTGTAAGTTATGTGTGGTTGTAGATTCTGTTTAGTAGTTGTAAGTTATGTGTGGTTGTAGGCTCTGATCACTAGTTGTAAGTTATGTGTGATTGTAGGCTCTGTTCACCAGTTATAAGTTCTGCGTTGTTGTAGATTCTGTTCAGTAGTTGTGAGTTATGCGCGGTTATAGATTCTGTGTAGTACACACCCTATATAAGATAGTAATCAACGAGACGAGGTATTGATCTCAGTGGTTGAAACTGTATGTGCTTTAAATTCCAGTTCCTCCTCCTGAGGTAGAGATTCTGCCATTCATCTCTGGCCCTGATGAGGTCTCATTATCTGTAGCAGTGCCTCCTAAAGAAGATTCTCCAACAGCAACACAGGTGCTTGTATCCTACAGATGGTACGCGGAGAATGATGGAAAGACTCCTGTTAATGAGCACACGGCAGGCAAGTGTTATTACCATATATTTCCAGCTTGATAAGGACATTCGGACATTATATATATATATATATATATATATATATATATATATATATATATATATATATATATATATATATATATATATACCTACTCACTTACTTAGTCGCTCCTCTGCGTTCAGTAGTTTGTCATTGCCTCTAAACGGTCAGCTCTTGGTACTACTGTCGAAACCAACGCAAGACAACCCGCCCACAGCTTGGATCGAACCCGGCACTGCGGCATCACGAAGCACGCTCGCAACGCCTAAGCCACAGATCTCAACATGAAAAAAAAAATTATGGTATGAAAACGCTGACAGTTTATTAACTCTTTCAGCACCTACGAATGCACAATAAGTTTCTTTTTTATACCATAAAAATGTGATCTCTTCACTATACATATTATCATTAGATACCGTGTTAACCTCTTGTATCTTAATAATTAATTTGACTTCTTCTTCTATATAGATTTTCTTTTGATCACGCCCAGACCAATTCTTTTATGGTCAAATCTAGGCAGTAGAATGGGTTCACGTAACAAGTGCATGGGAGTGAAAGAGTTCAAAACGAACCGCTGTCAGTGTTTTTCGTCTGTGATATGAAAGCTGCTCCGTGGATGAGAATAAGCCTTCGCCCCTAATGTGTTGAATGACAGCAGTAGTACACTCTAGCCAGCCTCCATTGTGGAGACAACACGGATAGATTCAACAAATCAAAAGTGATGGTTACAAATTACTTTATTTTTAATTTACCTCAATAAAGACAATCTTGGAGGTACGGGGAAAGTCCAAAGGGTGTTATGGGTTAGGGGTCAGAGTTAGTTGTAGTATCATAGACACCCAATAACCCTAACCATAATCTAAACCCATAATACCCCTAGAAGATTAGAGATTTACAGAAACGCCGGGATTTTCTTTGGATTGAATTAAAAATAAAGTACCACCATAAAGCTCACGGTGCGCGTGGTTACAAGTGTAGAGTTGCAACCAAACATGTCTACCGCAGAGTGTTTTATTTTTTTTTATTTGTAAAGAGGTACAAAACCTGCGACAACGTAAGCGGGGCACAAGAAATACAAAACAGGAAAGAAAAAACAACATAGACAGGAGGAGCTATTGCGAAACGAAACCTTAAAGAAAGAGCAGGGTGGGAGATGGGGGCAACAATTTAATATACAAAACAAACAGAAAAAAAAAAATTTGAAATTATGCTGACTGTGACTTTTGCTGGACTGACAAAACCTAGACTGAGGATCTCAGCTAGGCTGCAGAAATAAACATGCTGTAAAATGATGTTCGGGTTTAAAAAAAGGGAAAAGGGAGTGGAGAAATCGTGGCGAAGTGGTCTAGCCGTTAGCCTTCTGCTCTGGAAGTCTGAGTTAAATTCTCGCTGCGTCGCTCAATTAACGAAGAAAGAGAAGAAAGGGTGGAGGAAGAGTAGTGAGGTAGGGTGATGGGAATAGGAAAATGATAATGCTGATGAAGAAGAAAAAGCAGAAGAAGAAGAAAAAGAAGAAGAAGCAGAAAAAGAAGAAGAAGAGGAGGAGAAAGAAGAAAAAGAAGAAGAATATGATGATGATGATGATAATGATGATAATGATGATGAAACAGAAGAAGAAGAAGAAGAAGAAGAAGAAGAAGAAGAAGAAGAAGAAGAAGAAAGAAGAAGAAGAAGAATATAGTAGGGTCATCATCATCATCACGTTTCGCTGACCTCTGTATTGCAGATGTCGACGATCAAGGGAAAGCCACTGTGAAATTGCTGGACATCAGTGGCGGCAGGGATTACCTAGTCACGGTTCAAGCCAGAAACATCGTGGGATCTGGTCCATCGACAACCATTATTGTCAACAGAGGTAGTTTACATCGATCTGACCCTCCTCCTTCTCCTCCTTCTCCTCCTCCCCTTCTTCTTCTTCTTCTTCTTCTTCTTCTTCTTCTTCTTCTTCTTCTTCTTCTTCTTCTTCTTCTTCTTCTTCCTTTTCGTCGTCGTATTCTTCCTTTTCGTCGTCGTCGTCTTCTTCTTCTTCTTCTTCTTCTTCTTCTTCTTCTTCTTCTTCTTCTTCTTCTTCTTCTTCTTCTTCTTCTTCTTCTTCTTCTTCTTCTTCTTCTTCCCCTCCTCCTCCTTCCTCTTCCCCTCCTCCTCCTTCCTCTTCCCCCCTCCTCCTCCTCCTTCTTCTTCTTCTTCTTCCCCTCCTCCTCCTTCCTCTTCCCCCCCCTCCTCCCCCTTCTTCTTCTTTTTCTTCTTCTTCTTCTTTTTCGTCGTCTTCTTCTTATTCTTCTTCTTCTTCTTCTTCTTCTTCTTCTTCTTCTTCTTCTTCTTCTTCTTCTTCTTCTTCTTCCTCTTCTTCCTTTTCTTCTTCTTCTTCTTCTTCTTTTTCGGTTTCTTCTTCTTCTTCTTCTTCTTCTTCTTCTTCTTCTTCTTCTCTTCTTCTTCTTCTTCTTCTTCTTCTTCTTCTTCTTCTTCTTATTCTTCTTTTTCTTCTTCTTCTTTTTACTTTTCGTCTTTCTTCTTCTTCTTCTTCTTCTTCTTCTTCTTCTTCTTCTTCTTCTTCTTCTTCTTCTTCTAAGCTTTCACAGGTTGTAAATTAGGGCGTTCAGTTTTGGTGTTTTTTCCACTACTAAATTTGGTCTTATTATAGAGTTAGAGTTTTGTGCGCACATTGGCTTTACAGATCATAACTTTTTCTAGGCAGACTCTTCATTACTCACCTTTCAGGCAGACGCACACCCAATATGAAGTTAACACACATAATTAGTTGCATTTTACGACATGCTTGTTAGGCACAGCGGGTCTATTCATTTTTGTCTCTAATATAGGGCCATAAAACCACATGGAAACAATTCCCTACAAATGTCCACTTTTCCGATGGATACTCTATCCAGTAAAGTCTCCAGATATCACATCCAATGTTCAGCTGTCTGTCCACCGTTAACATACATAAGTAAAAGAAGAAAAAAAAAACCTTCACTCCTTCTTTCTTCATCCATAGAAATGCCACTTGACAAAGCTTCATTACAACCACCAGCAAAGAAACCCACTTGCATCTTAGAAGCAGGAGAAGAAAGCTACAACCCACAGCTCAATTCCTCCAACAGCAGCAGCCCGGGGAGGAATCATAACCCAAACAACACAGAATACAACCACGGAGACACCTTAGAATATTCCCGAAACAAAAGTTTACAAATATCGTTGGAGGTCACGGCATCTCACAACAGCGCTATGATTGTACTTCCGGGACAGAGGTCATGTTTATCTCAGTGTTCGTGCCTTGTGTGTTTGGTTGTTTTGTTTTCGGGTTTGTTCTTGCTTATATAGTTTTTGAATAATACAATAAAACCGTGTTTGTTTACAGTTCATTGTAATTTGTTTAATTTTTTTTTGGGGGGGGGGGGGGGGGGGGGGGGGGGGGGGGGGGGGGGGGGGGGGGCCTCACTTGTAACGCTTGTCTAATTAGAATAAAGTTTTATTTATTTTATGAGAGATTTCCTCGTTCTGGGCTGGGACATGAGATTCTTCTTGTTGTTTTATTCGTTGATGAAGACTTTGGTGAAAAAAATTGGGTTTTAAATTTGTAGTTTTTACATCCCCCACTCCCTTTTCTGTTGAGCTTTCTAGTCATATTAGGTTTGTCAGTCAGTATAACAGGTGCCGTCTCTACAATGAATAATGACTTCAATGGATTTTCATTATGCTCTGACTATCGCCTTGGATGTACACTCTCTCGGACCGTTGATTCTGTCTGCCTCTAAATGTTTCAAGGAAAACTATTTTTCACTGAATAGACTGCATACCCTAGGTGTACCAACCGGAGCAGCGAGACAGGGAAATCCATGTGAAAGCCACCCGTCATTACATAAGCCAGAACATATTTGGAGTTGTTAGCCTAAAAACACTTGGAGACATACTCAGGAGGAGATAGGAGCACTCATCATCATGTCCGATGTGCGATGAAGACGATCTTTAAATGAATAATCTACAAGACCAGCTTGTGTTAAAACGAGTCCTTCACAATAAACGCATGCGATTTAGATCTCCTTTTTGCCATAACATCGCTTCGCTCTTAACCTGTCTGCAATCAATGTTGTATTTGTCCCTACTGCCTTACTTATCGTCCCATCTATGCAGTTCTCTAATGTCTCTCGTGAGTCAGCTATATCAAGTCTGTTCAGTTCGGCACCTGTGGCGAATGAATACCACCTGCCCGTATTTTGCTAACAATTCTCAAAACAATATAACGCATTCTCCATACTTTTCTGAGTGAGCTATTTTTTGTCTTGTATCTTTCAACTGCTCAATTGTTCTCGTAACTTTAATAGGATCAATGGAGAACCTTCGACACACAGTCCTGGCATTACAGGTTGTCAGCCGGTTTATATTTTTATTTTATTTTATTTTAGTGGTTCATTTGTTTTAACAGGCACGTAATTCTGATTTGCTGCAGCTTCAAGTACCAATTAACTGCACAAAGGAAGTGGCAAATTACCACTTTACTGGATGGGGATTGTCCAGTCTGAGGCAGACAGTAACTATTCAGTCATCATCATAAACCACTTCTGCCGTTAAGCGGCGTGGGGAGGAATAATTTGCGATCCAGTACACGTTGGCTGCCACTGGCTATTGTCATGCCGTAAAAGCGTAGAGTGTCTTTAATGTTGTCTATCCATTTTCCGCGGCCGTCCTCTTGCTCTTGTAGTTGATCTTCTGAGATGTAGTGCTTGTGATGGTATTTGATCTTGCTGCATTCTAACGATGACCAACCCACTTGATCTGCTGTTTCTCGATGAATCTAGTACAAGGTGTCGTTCCCTCAATTTGCCTGATAGTTTCATTATTCACTCGATCTCGTATGGTTAGGTTGGCTGCTTTTCTAAGGTACTTCATCTCGCAGGTGGTAATTTTGCGTATATGGGCTTTAGATAGTGTCCATGTTTGGCACTGGTAGCTTAATGTTCAGTAACACTATTCAGTAACACAAGATAATGTTCCCACCGCCAGAGGCCGCCCGTGGCGCCCTCGCCTACGTCAGCTGACGAAAAGATTTTTAACTTACACGTCCCTGTAGCTACTGCCTCTCCATTTGATTCCAAGACCAATTTAGGACAGGGATGAAGCTCCACAAAGCCCGAGCAGTACTCTAAAGACCAGCAACACCACTAACAACAGCAAAACAGTAACAATAACAAAACCGACAACAATTACAACAGAAATCACAACTCAAAAATAAATTCACGCCAAACAAACAATCCCAGCTTAGAGATATATAGAATTTTAATATGTCACCATCCTTATTTTACGTGTTCTGATCTGCGAGAGACTGACTACTCCATATATACATAGAGAGAAAAATCAACACACACAAAAGCCACTGAAACATGTGTATGCACCGAAGGAAAGACACAAGGAACTGGAAAATACAGCAGATTCTACACCTGGCTTCAGGCTCCATACTTTATTCGTCAAATGTACTTAAAATATCAGTTAACTCATTCAACACTAATCGTTTTTATTAGGATTGTCGTCTGTTTCTTCCTCTGGGCTGATGCCTCAAGTTTTGGTTACCCTTGGGACCAAGAATCACATCCATACTAATCTGTGTAACCAGCAAAGATGTTTTAACTGGAGCACCCGTACTTTCTCGGTGTACCCTGCAGTACTTTGTGGGTTAAAAAAAAATTTGGCGGTCACTGGATCAAATTTAAAAAAAAAAAAACATTTAACAGTATAACTCCCTTATTTTACGACACCTTTACAGTTATAACGTAATGCACTGTCCACTCTGAGGGTGGGACTCTTGTTGCAATTGCGACTTGTCCCTTTAAGGTCGCCGTCCGCAAGATTAACATCTCAAGATTGAAAACAGTACATGTACACATAACGGTAAACCCCGAAAATAAATATGCAGGTTGAGAATTTTCATTCTTAACTGGCACCAGTCTTGTAAGTTTTGGCATCAGCCGAGTTTATTACCTGACAACTACAACCTATATGTTCAGTTAGAAAGTTTATTATTCTCCTAATAATTCATTGTGTGTTGTAGATTTTATGTTGCAGTTTAAAAAAAAACCATAATTCTTGTATTTTTTAGCTTTTAAATACTAATAATTTAACTGCAGCTGTATTCTAAACACCTGGGCCAGGTAACATATTTAACGTTCTGGCTGTACTAGATCTGATTCCATTCAATATTCCCGAGCCCTCTTTTTTTTTTTTTTTTTAAAGAGACAACCAAATACTAGATGATGATGATAATAATTATTATTATTTTCACTGAAAACCCAGAATTAAATAACTGAGTACAAAATAGTTTTACTTTATCAACTTTCAGTGATTATTTTTTGAAACTCATAAAAATGTTCCAAAAAATGACTTCACGTATTCTTTTTGACAAGATGTTTACCCTGCTCCTCTACTCGTATTTATACACTTCACTGCAAACGTTTTCCCTGTAAAAATCCACCGTTCTGTAACCCAGCGTAAAACGTGCGTCTGGAATACGCTGTTAAAAATGAACTTAAACTTCCATCATCATGTTTTAGTGTCCAGATTACGTGTAAAACTAACTGCAATAGACAAAGTAGGTGTAAAACGAATATGTGAGCCTACAAAACAACATCTAGCGCAGTTTTCAAGCAGCAAGGTCTCATAACAACACAAGCCATGCACATTCTGTATCGTTGACATAAATGTGTACGAATTCAGAAGTAAAGATTCGATGGTTGTGAGCCTCTACTTTCTGTTGTAGAGCAGACGTGTTTGCACGGATTGGCTGAACTGAGTCAGGGATCAGAAACAATTCAAATAAACTATGTACACACAAAAAGAGTTGCCACGAATATCATAGAGAAAGAAAGAAGAAAAAGAAACAAAGTCACCTAACGGACAGAAAACTGATGTTGATGGGATCATGTGAAGGGTAATGCTGTTTTGAGCCTAGCACTGTTACTGCCACTGGAAGCAGGGTCATACTCTCATGCGTGGGGAGAGACTCATTTCGCGGGCTAAAAGAGACCCACTGTGGGCACTAGATACACAGAAGCGAGCAATAAAACGCATTTCTCTTCTTCTCCACCCACCCCCCCCCCCACCACCACCACCACCACCACCTTTCCTATTTTCTGCTACTTTCCCCCTTGTATATCATCCACCAAGCCTATAGAATGATCTCCAGCGAACACATAGTTAGTTTTAATCCCATTATGTAACAGTAATTCATAATATTATTGAACCACACAGAGCGAAAGCAAAAATAACAGATGTAGTGTTCACTTAGTGTGTTTAATGTACGCAAAATACACTGTCTCATTTTTATGGACGGATGCACTATAAATTTACAATGTGTCGTTTTCATGCTGTTTAACGAATGGGGATGCCAATCCCGTTCACATAATTCTCAGTAAAATCTCAAGCCTTAATTCCGTCATTTGTGTGTGAAATACTTCTTCCTGACGCGCCTTTAAATTGCCCACTGAACGCTGAACTTTGCCTCCATGTCCCCTTACAACTTTTTGTTTAGATTAATATGTTCTACTTCTTTCCCCATAGAGACAGCTTTAAAAGAAACTGTATCGTTTGAACTTGGCGCAAAAGACAATCTCAAAAGCAAAGATAGGGAAAAAAAAATCATCATATCATCTTTACGCATGCGTAACACAAAAATGATACATTCTGTTTCCTGTTTCTTCAACAGGGGCAAAGAAAAAGTATCACTGTAGCGATTCTATAGCTGGCAAAACTCTAAAAGAAACGAAATAATTTAGTAAATGAACCATATACACATTGTTTAACCGAGGAAAGTCTGCAAGGCTCAAGCCACTGAATCGATGAGTGTCCCCTCGGCTCCGTTCAGTAAAGCTGAAGGTTCCTGGTTGACGTTGGCTTGTCCTAGAGAGATAATGATTAAATGAATAGATGAAGATAGATAAACAGACATACAAGCAGA